GATTATTTATCCTTTAGTAATATAAGATCGATCACTAAAGATGAATCTAGGAACGAAATTTACAGACAATCTTGAATCGAACATTTAAACCAATCCTAATTACTTCTGGTCATTTATTAATTCCTCAAAGGGTAATTCTACTATTCCCGCCCAAATAGTATGAATATATTGAATATAATGGCTCGCAAGAGGTGGTTAATAGATTTGCTTAATTTTTCTTCAATAACTTTACTCCTTCTGGCACTTTCTCGCATCTGGACAATAAAAACAGTCAAAATATTTTTAGTATCAGAGAATTTTCTGAAAACGAAATCTTGGTGGCTGCTAAAAAACTAATGCCAAATCAGCCTTCTTAGTTAAAGACTGTGCATATAAATAGGGTAAAGACGACAGTCGTTGGCATGTACACAATCATGGCCATAGTGCGAATAGAATGACTAATAAACTATTTTGATCACAAACTTAGTGTCTAGATTTTTCATGTCAAAGTTGGATACATGTCCAATAGTTTTGAAACATTTGACGTCTTTATGTTTACAACTAGTGATGAGCAATATATCACTAACTGTGATTTAATCACTGATATCTAAAATCACGGAGCATAACTACCAAAACTCATACAAAACCGAGAAGTGATCACGACTTTCATTTACGTCACAATTGGTAAATAATGTCGACGGTTGGATCAGGAGCGGCAGCATTTTTTGCTTTTTAGTGTTCGTCCTCCGTCCTGTAGTCCTGCCGTATTATGCGAGATCGTGCCTTATGGACATTGAGTGTAAAAATAATTATTATTACAATTAGGATATTTTTCATGTCGTGATTTCAAAAGTTAGATTCTCAAAACTCGTTAATTACGTTTTTATTACCTGTTTTTAAAATAAACAAAAAAAACTAGTGAATTATGGAATTATTTTGGACAGTTAAACGAAAATATTGCGATTTGTATTATGTGCAAATTAAAATTATCATATAAGACTACCACATAAAATTTAAAAAACATTTAAAGAATAGGCATCCTACTGTTACAATTTTAACTGCAAATCAAACTAAAGGACGCAATAATGGGTCCTATGATTGAACGTTTACGTTATCCGTAACGTACATGTTAGGCCGAGTTTTAACAGCGACGTGCCAAATTCGTATGATGTAAAGTTTTTCATAACAGGTTACTGTTATTTTCCACCTGTTATGTTCTAATTTAACGTATCGCCTCAACAGCCTCGAATAACATGCCGTTAAGTGCCCAACGTCTATGTTACCACTTTATTTGTTTATTATTTAATTATCTAATACCTATATTGCTAATTATCTGAATTCTTAATATATTTGAATTTGTTTTTAATTTATATGATTTGTAAATACTAGCCAAAGGTTTGATTTTTTTTATCTAATATATTTATTTTCCCCGTGAGAATAATTTTGTTTTTTTTTTTTAACAAAATTAAGTAGTTCCTCATACTATTACACATTTGTTTTAGCTAATCTTTTCGCCATAATAAATTAAACAAAACTGAAAAATGAACTACAAAAAATTCTAACCTAATTGTTGTTTTTTTTTCTTTCAGAAAAACATGAAAAACCTCATTTTAGTCATTTTTAGAAATGAAGTGAAGTTAGGTACATTTTGTGCGCACGCGCAATAACGCAAATAAATATTTTCTTCCATTCATAACAGCCAGCTTAACATCTTCTGTCACAGACTACTTCAATCATACGGATATGACACCTACGTTATCTGTTCCCTGTTAGCATAACATAACAGATTCGTGTTAAAATTAACGTAAACGTTCAATCATAGGACCCAATAAATATAATAAAATTAATTTTTAAAAATATATTAAAAATAAATGTTGGGTGAAGTGTAATAAATAATAGTTTGATTTTAAACTTTATACTAAGAAAAACGAATCGATGCAAAGAAAAAATAGGATGTGACTAATTTACAGTTGCCCCATGCCTAAATTTATTTCACTTCACTTTATTTTTCACATTTCCAAGTCTTGATTAAAAACAATGAAACTAATGAGGATAAGTTCCCATTTTCAAATTCACAAAATCAATCCCCTCAAAATTCGATAGCAGTTAGTGCACCAAGCACATCTAAAAAGCAGGAAACACCTGTAACTAAATTTCGACAAGCGAAAGTTGAACGTTAGCTACCAACAAAAATTTCTGTCAGGTCCAAGGAAAACATTGATACAAAACTAATGAATTTGTTTATCAGAGATCATCAACCATTTTCTGTCGTAGAAGACAATGGCTTTAGAGAGTTCGTATAAACCTTAAATCCTGGATACCAATTACCGTCCAGATTTGTTATATCAAAAACTTTACTAGCTGCCATGAATAAAGAATGTGTAAACTACGTGAGGGAGATCAAGCTGCAACAAGTTTCTTTAACCTTCATGTTTACATTTGAGGCAAAAGGCAGTCTTACACCTCCTATGATCATTTATCCATATAAACGTTAACCACCAAAATATATATTAGAAGCAGTTCCTGAAAAATGGGGTGTTGGTTATTCTAATAATGACTGGATAAAAGCTTCACTTTTTTACGAATACATAGGAAATGTTTTTAACCCATTTCTTATTGAGAATAAAGTAAAAAAAAACAGTCCTTTTTTTCGTAGACGGTCAAAAAACCCATTTGACACTGAAGGTCAATAAATTATGTAATGATTTGGGAATAATTCTCATAGCCTTGTACCGAAACGCAATACGTATTTTACAGCTTTTAAACCATTAAAAACACGGTGGCAAAATGGTATATTGGAATAGAGAAGAGAACGCCCTAATATTCAATTTACCAAAGAAAATTTTGCTCTTCTTCTGTCTAAGGTTGTTAAAAAATATATTAACAATAATATAAGAAATGGATTTATGGCAACTGGTTTATTTCCATGGAATGTCGATGCAATAAATTATTCTAAATGCTTGTCAAATAGAAATTTCATTAATTAATAATGTAAATAATGATATTGTATCTCCGGAACCTGACAAAACTAAATTTATGAATTTCGCAACATTCAAGTCAATAATTGGTGAAGAAACATTGCATTTCCTTGAAACTAAACCAGTTGAGATTAATGAAACTGAAAGGAAATATTTGCAGAAAATATTGGAATTTTTAAAGAACCCCAACAACAAAATGAATATGCCATTATATTTTTGGAAGATAATAACCATGAGGCAGACCTCTGCAGCATTGAGTTCGAAACCAATTTGGAGCAGGAAAATGTTAATATTGCAAACCAAGAAGGTGGTTATGTTAAAAGCGAAAACAGCTGCAGAAGTTCGATAGTTCTTTGGAATATACAAGAACACAGTAGCAATAACTTAATTACCATCAAGATCCACTAGAAATAAAATCCCCTTTTCAATTAGTCAAATTCTTCTTTGACCAGAGACACCAAAACGAAAAAACATTAGAGAAACAGAAAAGTTTTCATATGTGATTTCCTCAGAGGCTTGGAAACATTTAACAGAAGATAAAGAAAAAAAAATGAAGAAGACCCTAAATGAAATAGAAAAAGATTATAAAATAAAACAAACTCATAGAATAAAAAAGCGAGAAATAAAAGCAAATCAACCATCAATAAAACTTCAGTAAAACTTACGAAATCTGAAGTTGCAAAAGAGAATACACCTTTGCCTTCTGCCAAGAAAAATATTCCTGAACCCAAAATTCTGATTATCCAGAATGAAATACAGAACGGTAAGCCCAGTATTTCTAATGAAAATATTGATAGTCCGTCAAAATAATTTGGAAAAAGATGCTCGTCGTTTAACCGAACACTGCATTTGAAATACGAAAATAAATAAACTTTTTCACAAAATTATTTACTTGTAGCAAATGTGTAAAATAATTTTGGTAATTATTGTTTTCACATATTTTTTGTTTTAAATAAACATTTTTAAAGTAGGTACCTATATTTTTTATCGGAGTGCCAATAACTATGCACGTAAGGTGTCAATAACTATAAACGCAGTGCCAACTACTATGAATTCTGACCATCTCTTTTTATTTCTTGATTATCAAATACTAGGCAAAGATAAAAATATTATCTTGTATTGATAACGTAAAATTTGAACTGTATCTTTCGCATTCTTAAAAAAAATTATTCACATAAGCATTTTACAGTAAGGTAACAATAAAATGAGATTTTACTAGGGACAATAGTGCCAACGACTGTCGTCTTTTCCCTATATTCTGTAATTCTCTGTATAACATTTTTAATCTCATTCTCAAACTTAAGAAGTTTGCTGAATGTTGAAAGGTTTTTAGAAGTAATTATCGTCCAGTAGCTATTCTAAGCAATTTCACAAAAAAGTTCGAAAAAGTAATCCATAATCACGTTGCATTTCATGCCAGTAATATTATCATGCTCCACAGTGATTAATCTATTCTGCGTAACCTAATTCATTGGTGAAACACTGGAGAAAAAAAGTCAAGTTGATATTACCCAGGCAGCACACATTAGTATAACTAGCGTATTTTATACGTAATACTCGTTTAATTTTGGTATTGGTTGATTCCGTATACGTTTACAGTTTACTATTACTATATATACCGTTTTTTAAACGATATATTATACGTTTTTTTATATACATCCTATGGTATATAATTGTAAATTTTTCTACGTTTATATATGAAGGGCACAGGAAAAGAACCGGCTAAGTCCAAAATTTTGCGATTGTTAGATATTCATCCAGGTTATAGCAAGGAGACCGTACTTTTTATTAACATATCCACACAGGAAAAGAAACGGCTAACGATCTAGGAGTCATTTAATAATCATGTACAGGGAAAAAAACGGCTAAGTCCGCGCGCAAATAGGAAAGAAACGGTCAAGTCCGCTGTGCCGCTCGATTCACTAAGTATTATTTACCTTTATTGTTTTCGAAAGCAGCAGTACTGCGATATCGATCAACAAGTGTATACATGTTTAATTGATTAATCTTTTTTTTCGTTAGGTTTTTTAAAAATAATACGATATGATGTGTAGTAGTGATAGTAGTTCTAGCACCTTAGAATCTCCAACTACTTCGAAATCTACTAAAAGGCGTAAGGTTTATGGTCGAATGACTGCAGCCAGGAAAAAAATTAACCTACAAAGTCATACTATGGGAAAAGACTGTTACTGCCGTTTAAAATGTTTCGAAAGGGTTTCGCTAGACAATAGGCATAAACTCTTAAGAAAATTTAATCTGATGAAATCACATCATGAACAAAATACTTACTTATCCGGATTAATTAATGTTATTCCTGTACAGAGAAGAAGACCACGCAAGTATGAAAGAGATGCAAAGTTTCGTGAAGCTACTTATAAATACAGAGTACGTATTGTTAATGAAAATAATATAGTTGAAGATATTGAAGTGTGTAGAAATGCTTTTATTTCGACTCATGGGATAACAAAAAGTAAGATTGAATTTTTAGTAAAACAGTTAAAAGAGGATGGAACTATGGCAAAGGACAAATAAGGTTTACATAAGAATCGACCTTGGAAACATAATAAAACTAATCTTGATTCTATTCGTGAACATATTCGATCATTTCCAGGACGCCAAAGTCATTACAGTCTAAGTGACTCATCAAAAATTTACGTCTCCGAAGAGCTCAATATACGAAAAATGTACAAGATGTATTGTCAACTACAAAATTCAAAAAATCTATCATATGAGACCAACCGATCATTATTTAATAAAGAGTTTAATATTTCGTTTGGCTATCCGCGTACTGACACATGCAGTACATGTGATGAATTTTTAGCAAAAATAAGATGCTTGGAGACAGAGAAACGGGAACAGAAAAATGCCGAAGATGTTATAAAAATTGAGAAGAAAATTAAAGATTTAAGAACTGAAAATAAAGTACACAAAAGAAAAGCGGCCACTTTTTATGAAAGCAGAAGATAAGCAAAAAGAAAAGCTGCAAAATCAAAAAGTATTAAAGCAATTTGTCTAGATTTTGGTAAGAACCTTCCTCTTCCAAACATACCGACTAACGATGTTTACTATTAAAGGCAACTTTCGATGTACATTTTTAATATCCATGTGCTGTCATAAACTGAAAGTACTTTTTACATATACCCAGAAACCATTGCTAAAAAGGGAAGTGATGATGTTTGTTCCATGTTACATGACTTTGTATACAACTACCTGAGCCCGGACGTTCAAGAGCTAAACATATTTAAAAACTACGTAGGGGTAGTAGCAGAAAGGCCTACTACATAGTTAACCCAATGTGACATCTTCAGACTGGATGACTCATATAATTACGATCGAACTTCAGGTAGGTTCTTTTGATCGTTTAATTACGTCGTAATGTTTTAAAAACAATTGAGTCTTTCCCACTTACCGATGCATGGTATGCTTTAATTAAACGATATGAACGAGGTAAACTCATAGTCTAAACGCATGTACGCAAAATAATTAAATTTCCTTGTGTAGCCAGAGTCTTCAACAGAGTTACAAAATTTATATGATATTGTCAATAATAATTTAGTCGTTGCGTATTCTAGATCAACCTGTAGATTAATGGGATGCAATTTTAGTGCCTATAATAGCAGATAAACTAGATCCTAACTTAAAACGCAAATACAAAAAATATACTCAAGAAATAAAAAAAATCCTACCGATACAAGTTCTATTGAAATTCTCTACGATATTAAGCTAGCAGACCCCCAATTAAATATATCAAAACTCATTGCTATGTTATTGGGTGCTGGATTATTTTGGCAGTTGATAAAATCAGAAAAAATTTAAATTGAAAATTCTAAATTGATTTTACAAGACACGAAACTTGTGAGTCGATTCTGAGAAATCACCTATAAGACAGAGAATCTGTAAGATACATGATCTTTAACTTCGACTATTCCAGATATACAAATTACGCAATTCTGAAACCCAATCTGTAGAGTGACAATTTACAGGAATGCTCTTATAGAAATAGCAACTTCATGATTATTTTTGATGTCAAAATTTTAGTCTAAAATCTTAATCTGACATCTGTTTGAATTCTAAATATAACTTTACGACTTTTTTCAATCATTTTTAGTTAAAAATTATTCTTTTTTAAGGCATCATTAGGTAAATGCTAATATATTTAAAGTTAAAAAATATAAATTAGTAATCACGGTACTTTTCATAGCGCAAAACGGAGAAGATTAAAAAATACAAGCGCAAAACGGAGAAGATTAAAAAATACAAGCACAGAACAACTGGAAATTTATTTAAGTACCATGGAAAATGATTGATGTTTTTAGAAGTGGTATAACCGGACCATATTTAAAAAAAAAATGGGAAAGGTTAACAACTAAACTAAATTCTCTTGGGAATGGGCCATCCCTGTCAGTAGAGGAATGAAAAAATGATTTAATTGGAAATATGCAATAAAGTCGAAATATAGAAAAATGCAAACATTATTAATGCAAACTGGTGGAGGGCCCCAAACTGAGTTAAAATTAAATAATCTTGAAGAACGAGGTCTTTCAGTTTGGGATAAAGTTACATTTACTGGGGCATAGAAACTGATGTCGCTCAGTATGAAGGCATAGATATTGATGTAACTCATGAGGACAGAGAAACTAATAACTCAGGCGATGAAGAAAATGCGAATGAAGTAGAACATGAAGAAAATGTAGAACTTATTTGCATAGAAGCACCTCCAATAAAGAGAACAAAAATAAACATCTGTCAGTGCTTGCAAAGACTTTGAATTTTCAATGGATTGATGGAATGGTTATGAATTCATGTGTTTCGAGTTCTTTTAATTTATTTTAGTTTATATAAAATGTTGTTTTGATTTACATATATCTTTTAGTTTATTTAGAAGACTTTTTTGTTTGCATAAAATATTGTATTGTTTTGATTTTTGTTTCAACATTTACATATATTTTTTAGTTTATTTAGAAGACTCATTTTTGGTCTGTATAAAATATTGTTTTGTTTTTGAGATTTTTTTATGGATTTTATATTTAATATAATAAAAGTTTATTTACTGAAAGATATATAAGACAAAGAAAAAGGCATAAATAATATTTACAGTAAATAAACAACCTGTGGCAATAAGTCTTAAATGCAGGTTCAGTAATTTTGTGTTTGACAGGCAACAGTAATTATAGTTAAAAGACAAAACTGAACCATAAAGATATTTCTCCTGCACAGTGTTCCCAACTGCAGGGAATTTTCCCATTTGAGGGAATGTTGGCCTCCAAAAGGGAAAAGGGAATTTAAAAAAAAAAAAAATAATACGAGCAACCGTGTTACTGTCACCGGAAATAAAAAGAAGTTTGACAACACAGGTCGACAAAGACGAAGAAATTTCGAGGCAGTCAGTGAATTGGGTGTTCTGTGTGGTTGTTGGCAGTATTGGCTCAGTTGGCTGTTCTGTGTGGCTGTTGGTTGGCAGTGTTGGCTATGATGACAGGAGACAGGACACATGTTGGTTGGCAGTGTTGGCTATGACATATGACATGACAGTTGACAGGACACATTTGGTTTCGGTGATTTCCCGACATTCAACTCTTTCGAGGTTTTATTTTTATTGATTAGGTAAATTTGCAATATAAACGCTTATTGATCTGCTGGACCATTTTGTATTATAATCTGAAATATGAGTTCCTCAAGCTCAAGCAGTGAAAATAGTGAAATAAGGAAACCAAGGAAGAAAATACATATGGAAAAAATGTTTAAGACATATTGGTTAGATGATTCTACTTTTAAACCATGGCTATTAGCTGATAACAGCTCAAAATACAAAGCAAGGTAAAAATTAATGAAATTTTAAAATGTTTATTTAAGCTGTATTTAATTGTAGATGTAAAGTTTGTAATGTGAGTATTAATTCTGGAAAGAGTGAGTTACAAAAGCATGCAGCAACCCGCAAACATGTCAATAAAATGAAAACTATAAAGGAGACCAAAAATATAGTTCAAATGATTGAAGCAAAAAAGGATAATATGCACGATTCAACCGTAAAAAAAACGAAACTTAAATTAGCTGCATTTTTTGCATCAAAAAACGTTGCCTTTCGACTAATTGACCAATTAGAACCCATTTTGAAGGAGATGTTTGCAGATAGTAAAACTTGTCAATTACTCAGTTTAAAATAGACGAAATGTACGGAGTTAATAAGAAATATTTTATGCAAAAAGGAAACAAATGATTTAGTAAGCGACCTGAAAAAAACACGATTTTCCATATTAATAGACGAATCAACGGATATTGGCGATTCAAAATGTTTGGCTGTACTCGTTCGTTATTCAAAACTTGGAAAAATAAAGACTAGACTTCTAGAGCTCATACAAGTAGATGCAAGAGATCTAGGCGCAACACATTTATATGGGACCTTTAAAGCTTGTTTGGAAAAACATGAAATACCATTGAAAAATATAGTTGGTAAGTTGTTTTAACTTTTGTATGTACTTAGTATTTTTCAATTAACAAACAGTTTTTTAGGGGTAGCATGTGACGGTGCCAGTGTCATGGTAGGAAAACATCATTCGTTTTTCCAATTATTACAAAATGACATATCACATGTAATTCTTTTAAGATGTATATGTCACTCTGCAGCATTAGTCGCTAAATAGTCTAAATTCTTTCTAAATATGTTGTATTATGAATGAAATTCTTAAGTCTGCAGTCGGCACGCAGAAATATTTACATGCGAGACTTTCGCACGAAATACGAGAAGTCTTGCAAGAGACTCGAGACGAGACCAATAAAAGTCTCGTCTCGTCTTGTCCGAGTCTCGTCTGGAGTCTTGTCTCGAAAACGAGACGAGACCATGCGAGACTCTCAAAAACGAGACTCTCCCGGGCACCACTACTGGTTCTTTGGTTCCACCTAGTTTTCTAAGTACTACAGTGGCCTTTAATTTTGCTTACTAGGAACAGATGGCTACACCATTTCACTACTTGAATTCTTATTCTCTTCGTAACTAACTTTACTGTATACAGGTGAAATGTATAGCATTTATTAATTCCATTAGAGACTGAAATTGAGAACCTATCTATTTCTTGCTGAAGAGTCCTAATAAGGACGAAACCGGTCCAAGAATGGTGTTCGTAGTAAGCAAAATCAAAGGTAGAGTGTTGAGATTTTAGTTCTATCTCTGCTGTTTGTCTGTTGGATATAATGGAATACCTGTTGCGGTATTAGCCAAAGAAGTAGTTGTTTTCTGAAGAGAAACGGTCGCTCATAATTATGTAATATTGTCTTTTAGTTTTATTTTCTTTATTTTAAATTGAAAATGTTTAGGATCAACACGAAAATACAAATATTTGAAAAAACATCACTTTCTATTTTTCTTAAATTTGCCTTCTGGTCAATTATTTTTTGTACTTATTTAAATAACTTATTTTAATAGTGAAAAAAATATTTAAAACCATAGTGCCTAGAAAATGTTTTTCAGTTTATGCTCCAAAAATCACTATGAAATATTGGAATTTTTCTAAACTGAAATTAGTTTATTTTAGGTAGTTCTGGTTATCCATTAAGGACATGGTTTGTAACAGGTTATTTTTAACCCTTTGACTATGTAGTTTATTTTGTCGTTGTCTAGCTTATAATTAAATGTTTTCTCTTTGTAACAATAATGTCAGTATTTAAATATTTTATCTTTAAAGCGATAACCCCAACCAATATAAAATAAACTACTCAATGAAATACGGTCATTGTTATCGAGAGCTTCAACGATATGGAATCATTAGAAGAAAAAATTCGTAAAAGGAATATTTACAGATAGTTTTATTTTTAACTCACCCCCACCTCCACTTGAGTGAAACCGAGGCATAACAGTTGACATCTGGACAACCAACTCTTAAGTTACCAAGCGCAGGTTACATTTTGGCGCCCAACGTGGGGCTGCGCATGTGCATTATGACATTTTATTTTTTTTTTTAAAAATTAGAGTT